GAGAGAGAGAGAGAGAGAGAGAGAGAGAGAGAGAGAGAGAGAGAGAGAGAGAGAGAGAGGCCTGCCTGCCTCCTCGTAATGCGACCCCCAGCCCCCCTCCAAGGAAAGGAGGAAGGGAGGGAGGGAGGGAGGGAGGAAGGAGGGGATGCTGGAAGGCATGCAGGGAGTGAGGCAAGCAGAAGGGAGCGAGGAAGGCAGGCTACTCGGCAGGCCAGTAGTTTTGAATGCCTTCAGGTTGAAACTATTCGACCTTCTTCGAAACTGTGAAAAACATTCTGTCCTTTTGGAATCCTATGACCCTCGTTTTGCATCCCATCTTTGTCAAAGTGGTGCTTCGAGCTCTGACATTGCTTTGCCCTTTGGGTGGGTAGACAGACAGAATTTTGTGAAGATCCAGTAGTTATGAGTTCCTTATGGTAAAAAACACTACACCCTAAAACTGGGGGAAAAAAAAGTAGGATCTTCTTAGAAACTGAATGTTTCCTCCTAGTTGTTTTGGTATGTCAGCCCATGATCGTACTTTGTATTGTGTCTTTATTGAGTGATGGTGTGGCAAATGTCATTACTGTGTGACCTGTTGGGGTCGTGGGCCTATAGACAAGCACATGGACAGATAATGAAAGGAAAGAAAGAAAGAAAGAAAGAAAGAAAGAAAGAAAGAAAGCAAGAAAGAAAGAAAGAAAGAAAAAAAAAAAAGAAGGAAAGAAACAAAAGAACGAGAGGAGGAAAAGAGAAAAGGAAGAAAAGAAAAAAGAAAAAGAACGAGAGGAAGGAAGGAAGGACAAGAAGGACGAAGGAATTGAGCATCTTATTTTTTAATTGCATCTTTATCGTGAGTGGCTGTGGCTGATGACATCACTTGGCCACTGTTGGAATGCAGGAGAAGCGGTTTCATAACTGGCTTGAGAACGCACGTGATTGGGCAATCAGCCGCAGTCGTTTCTGGGGAACACCGTTGCCGATCTGGATGAGTGAAGATGGCAAGGAAATTGTAGCTGTTGGGTCAGTGGAGGAGCTTGAGCGCCTGTCTGGTTTCAGAGTAAGTGAATCATTTGCTGTTTGGTATGGGCTGAAATTCGCCCTGTCTGGCGGTAGTAGGCCCTGTCTTGGATCCCTCAGATCTGGATGTGATCTGTTGCTGCGGTTGATTCCTGGAGTAATGCTGCAATCTTGATTTGGCGGACTGTTTACTTAACGACATGAACATACAACGCTAGAAATGTGGCTGACCATACTTGCAGCACTGTTCCAACAAAACCATAATGTTGCTGGCAGTGTTCTCTTCTCGATTGTATTTGTTTACGAGTGTTCTTATGAAACAACTCTTGCCGTTATCCAAAATAGACACACCTACTACGGTGTCTGTTGGTGTTTGGCGGTCATGTACAGACGCCACCGTTATGCCCAGGGAGCCAGAGGTTTGGATGGACGGGCCATGCAGCCACTGGCCAATGGTTCGGTCAGGAACGACCAAGGTGATGGGCCAGCCGACCCTCAGAGTTTTGGAAACCCTGTGTCAAGGGCATGGTATGTGCCGCACCCCAAATAAAAGGGGCTTGAAAACCCCAGAAGAAGAAGTGGAGAAGGGCTCCAACAGAACAGCGCCCGGACATGGGCAGTTGGCCCGAACGGGGGGATCCTGGGCATGCGCCCGTGAGATCGCGTAGTCAAAAAGCTCAATTAACATATGTACTGGAAGGACTAGAATGGCCTGGAATGCTGGATTTGGCTGTGATTTGTGTCAAATTGACCTAGTAGTACTCTGCGACTGTGGAAGGTAGAAACCTTAGGGCCTTCAAAGTTCAGGAGGGCGCGTGGAAGATTTTGGCTGCCTGATCTATCGATTGGGCGGCTTGAAATACCCTGTCCTAAAAGCCGATAGAAGAAGAAGGCAGCAGCTAGAATGCCCTGGAAAAGCCAGCCTGTGGTACCGACTGAATTGGACCAGTAAAACGGCCAAATCCATCTGGTCTGTCTTGGATGGAGCTAGGAGAAGAGGCACTGAAGGGTCTGGAATGCTCCAGGCCCTAGCAAGTGGGAGAACTGCCTAATTGCTTCATGGGCGGTTTAGAATATCCGTTCAGGTAAAAGCCATGTGGTTCCAGAAAAGAGGGGCATGGAGATTCCAGGCCCCACTGTGAAGGGAGGTGCGGCACATTTTGACATCTGCACCTGGTGTGATTGCAGCGCCAGGTACGGACTCCGAGGCCATGGGACCTTCATAAGCCCTAGAAGTCTCGTATCCCACCGCATCTGTGCCAAGCTTGGTGCGTTGGGAGGCTCTGGAAACCTCACACCAGACCTTCCAACAGCATCAATGGACGACTGGCAGTCCAACAGCCAGGAAAGGGCAGGTGTCAAGGCTGCTGCCTTGGCAAGGGAGGTTCCCTCAGCTGAAGGCACACGTATAGTACAAATACACCAGGGATGGAGAGATCTGAATCGACTGGCCCCCCCTGCAGATAAGGGGCCCTTGAGTGGATCCCTAGGTGATACGATCCAGGTGATGTGATAAGGGGATCAGTGGAATGGAGAACTGAAAAGACATACGAACTGAAAAGGGCCGAATGAGGCCTCTGGAGGGGCGCTTAGTCTTTTAGTGTATCTGACCCGATCTACGGCTGCGAGTGGATGTGTCTCTCTGCAATTATCTCCAGAACGTCCAGAAGTAAGCAAAACAGTCTTTGCAATGAACTCGGGGTCTCTCTACACCAGGACTGTTTGGCTATGTTCTGGATGTACTTACGGAGAGAGGCATCCACTCGGGACTGTAAATTGGGTCAGATACATGGAGAAGGGGTACTCGTCATCTTACATGTGCCTGACCCGTACTACTATCTGACATGCATGTCACCCGTACTCACTATCTTACATGTATCCGACCCCGTTTACGGCCCCGAGTGAATGTCTCTATTTGGCAATTATGTCCAGAAGGCCCAGAAATAAGCAAATGTGAGTATTCTGCACTGGCCTCAATGTACTTGTATTCGGACGTATGACAAAAACCGCTCAAACGACAATTTGATACCGTGATCACCCCGCCCCTCCAAAAGGACAAAGCGGACGGCCAAACGACAATTTGAAACGGCATTTCCCATGGCTCGCGGAGTTGCACAGGCCGATGGTCGGCACCTACTGGTCGGCAGTCATCGGCACCCTGCAAAAGAAAAAAGTCCATAACTCCCAATAACCCCTCCAACACCCTCATACCCCCCCGCCAATGCCACCCCTATAACCCCCCCAACCCTCCCCAGACCCCCCCCATAACACCCAGGTACCCCTCCCCCCCCACCGCCCCCTCATCCCCAAAAGTTCTTGGCGGATATGGGCTGTGCTCAGCAAGTGCAGTATGGCCTCATAGTCGGTTAAAAAAAAAATCAGTGGATGGCTGCTTACCGACTGGTCGGCAGACCACAGACCGGTCGGTCCTACTGGTAGGCTGCGAAACGGTCGGCAGTCGGGGTAGGCGTGCAGCGGGTATGCAAGCCTGGTGTCTCATGCGAAATCGAAACAGCAAAAAAAAAAAACCTATGCGGTCTTCAATCCTGCGACAACTGCCCTGGAAAAAAGACTAAGCTGCGAAATTGTCCAGGGACAAAAAAGCAAATGCTGCGCCAGCTGTCTCGTGACACAACCACTTCCGGGTCAGCTCTTTGCTTTTAGTTAGTAGTAGAAGGTTAGGAATACTTACTTGATGGTCACCCACCCACATATATTCTCACCCACTGTTTAATTATGATGCCATTTGATGACCGGCGAGTGCCTGAGTGCCTCCGGCAATGCTACACCAGTACGGCCTCAAGCAACGGCAATCAGCAGTACTTTCACCACATTGCCACATTATCCAGGTTAATTCCACCTATCCGCTCTCTACCTCGCGGATGGGCTTACCAGCCGGAGAAAGAGTCAACTCAATGCCTGCAGAAGACTCTCAACAACACCACAAGACCTAACTCGCCAGCCTGGATGCAGAGTATCAGATGACCCACCAGAATGCAGAAAACACAGCATGTGAGAACACACAAATTTTGAGCAATGAGAAGTCGTGGAAGGCCATGCATTAGTAGACCAAGGTGAACGCAGAGTTTGCAAGGCCAAGAGGACACGGAAGCATGAACACACCCAAGTCTCTTGGTAATGAAAGCCTTCTTCGCACCAATACGGCAACAGAGTAGTAGCCCTAAGCTATGATGTGATGCCTACGGTGCCTACACCACTTCTTAGCCTATCATCTGGCCTCACCTTTCTCACTCTGTGTCCTCTTCTCTCCAAATGCGGCTGAAGAGTTTTATCACAGCGGCGCTCTCCTGCCGCACGCCAGGTTTTATTCTTGAGACTGGGGTCTAAGCCGTACTGTAGGCAATACTTATGGGTCTGTATGCAGGCCCAGGTACCCGGCCAGTCAGATCCCTACTCAGGATATACCAGGTTATAACCCGGGGCAGAGCCTTCACCTATGGCCCACCCTGAATGCTAACAGGGCCCTTTGCCCTTGGAGGCTTGCGCAATTGTGCAGGAATGCAGTGTGGACAGGCTTTGGTTGAGGGTCATCTCGAACCAGATTTGGATGTCCAGATCTAGTCTGGACCATCTGGTGTCTCCATTGAAACGGTTTCACTCAGTTGACCCGACATTGCAGACACAGAGATTCGATCCCTAGACCTGTGCCCTAACCCTGTACATTGACCCTGTGTGCTGAGTAGGATTCGATCCCTAGACCTACCCTGTACCCTGTACACTGACCCTGTGTGCTAAGTGAGATTCGATCCCTAGCCCTATCCTGTACCCTGTTCATAGGCCCAGCGATCTGTGTAGGACTTGATCCCTAGGTCTGTAGGATAGGAGTTGAGTCTGTTGCCAGTAGGTCTAAAGTGTCTATTCTAGAATTGTCTACCTAAGTCTACTGTGGTCCTAGAGCCTGTCTTTCAGCCTGTAGGTTCTAGAAGTCCGTAGGGCCCTGTAGTCCAGTCCAGTCAGCAGGTACCAGAGGTAGAGGCTGCACGTTGGGAAAAAGGGAGGCCCACGCGTTCTGGAGAAGATTCCTGAATACACGTTTTGGGGCCCAGTTGTTTGGTCCAGGGGGTTGCACGCAGTTTAAGCCTACTAGGCCCACACGGTTTGGAAACTTCCAGACCCGGGCCTCGCACGTTTCGGCCCAGGCCCACACGTTTTGAGGCAGGGCCCGGGTACCTCCGAAGAAGTATAAATAAACAGGCAGCGTCCAGCCATTCATTCATTCGCCTGTGAGCCATGCGGAAGTGCTGCCTTGGTATCTTGTGCGTGGAGGTCTGCAGGTGCCCGGAGACGAAGTGGGGAGTGAGGAAGACAGCGGCCATAGCTGGCCAGTGAGGTAGACGACAGCGGCCATAGCTAGGAGGAGGAAGACGACGGCGGCAATAGCCGCTCAGCTGCTGGTGTAGACAGAGTGTGCAGAGTGTGTGTGACTGTGTAGCGCGGACATTCAGGGTGATCCTCGTACGTGCATGCATGAAGGAGAGTGAAGCTGGCGGTTGAGACAGAGTTCGGCGACCATAGCCGCAAGTTGTACAGTTGTTCTGAACAGAGTTTAAGAGCAAGTTCTTTGTTGATCTTGAGTTGACGAGTTTGGTTTGCCATCGGTTCTCATGTATGCATGATGAGAGTGAGTCCAAAGTCTAGTCTGATTGCACCATCGGCCGTGCACTGGGAAATACGCTTAAAAAAAAGGGAAAGATCTTGTGTCTTATTTGTTCAGGTTGCTTATGTTGTTCTCTCTCTCTCCCTCTCTCTTCTCTTTTTTTCCCCCTCATTTTTTTTTTCAGATTGGATCTTGATTAGCCGATGGCAATCTTCTATCAGTTCTGGAAAACCCACAGTACGCTCAGTTATCAAATTGAACTCCTCAGCCCCAAAATTTAAGTGTACGCTGGTGGAGTCATGCTGGGCCATCTTGCTGTAGTCCCCCTTCATTCCCGGTTCTTCCCAGCTCTGTTATCGTTGTCTTTAGTTATGTTGCTTCTTGCTTTGGATCGATCTTCTGATGTGTGGTTGTATACATTTGTTTTATTTGATGTTGCCCAGGCAACTGATCTCCACCGCCACAAGATCGACCATGTGACGATTCCTTCTTCCAGGGGTCCAGAGTTCGGTGTGCTGAGAAGGGTTGAGGAGGTGAGCAAATGACCATTGCTTTGCTGTATCTGGACTTGAATGGATGTGATACAGCACCAAAAAAGTGCCTACTGTGTAAGTACACAAGGGATTAACAAGCTGTGCATTACTTTTTGTCACTCTTCATGTCGATGTTTGTGCTTTTGGCACAAAGATCGTATCACCACAAGCAGTGCATTATTTCCTATCGCTCTTCGTATTGGTGTTTGTGGTCTGGGTCCAAAGATCACAACACCACACAGGGGACCAAGTAGCTGGAGGAAGGGGCAGTGAGTAGGATGAAAGATATTTTGACAAATTGGAAGAAAGCAGAGGTATGGGGAGGAGGCGAGAGGAAGAAGCAGAAGTCGATGGGAACAAGAACGGTGGTGGTGCTGGTAGAGGAGCACGTTGAGGAAAGAGGAGGAGGAAGGGGAGGAGCGAGTGTAGAAGGAAAGGAGGATACAGCAGAAGTAGATGAGTGCAGGAAATGTGGTGGTCTTGCTTAAGGAGCAGGACAATCAAGAAGGTGCCGAGTAAGACGAAGGAAAATGAGTATAATGATGAATGGACAACATGAGGAGAAGGAAAGGAAGGGGGGCGAAGGAGAAGAGGAGAGACAGATCAGACATGAAGGAGGGAGGTTAACCAGAAGCTGGAGTGAGTCCATCATATGGCCTGTTTCTCGTCCTCGACTGCTCTGTAACTTTTGTGAAGGTTCTGTTGTTCCCGGTAAAGCAGTTAACTGCTCTGTAACTTTTGTGAAAGTTCTGTTGTTCCCGGTAAAGCAGTTAACTGCTCTGTAACTTTTGTGAAGGTTCTGTTGGTCCCAGTAAAGCAGTAATCTTCTACGCAACTGGTGCGTGATGAGTTCTCTTGCTTTCGAATGGGAATGCGATATACAAACCGCTGTGCAACTTCCATGAAGCGTTTTTGAACAAGGATGGAGCTTCCCTGGGTCACATTGTTTCATTTAGCTTTGAATTTGTGTGTCTGGCCACTGATTTCGACTGATGATGTTCCCTGTGGCGCGTTTGCTTTCCTTGGTCTTTATGGTCAGTGCTCGGTTCACTACGTTGTGTGACTGCAGACATTCAAGTCCACGATCAGCTCCTGAAGGAGAAGGACATATAGGGCACGCATTGGTCCGGTTGTAAAACATTGCACTCCGGTACCATAAGTTAAGAATTCTTACTGTGGTTGTGAACCCTGTCAAAATGAAAAGGGGGAAATAATGTCCGTATAACTGATTCGATGTGTTCTTCTGTCTGAGTGTGAACAATATGGACGTGTTAGTTTTAGTCAGTATCTTCTCGCTGGAGCCACATCGTTAGATCAAGTGCCTATGTATGAGACTCTGGGATGTAGAATAACTCTGTGGGTTGCGGGCCTTGATCAATGTTTGCTGTCTTGCAGGTGTTTGATTGCTGGTTTGAGAGTGGCTCTATGCCTTATGGGTACATTCATTATCCTTTTGAGAACCGGGAGCTCTTTGAAAATAACTTTCCAGGTGATTTTGTTGCAGAAGGTCTTGATCAGACCCGCGGATGGTGAGTGCGCAGTTCATTAGATGTTTTTCCATTGTGAAAAATTTTCTTGATTCTACCCCTCTCACCAGCCTTGGAAACTGGTTATTGAGTTCCTCACAGCTTTGCATTACCTCTGCCGCATTTCGCTGGGAGGTTACCTTGAAGAGGATGACCCTCACACGGATTATCTCGGGCCTGCGTGAGAATGAGTTGTCGTTGAGTATGCCCTTAGGGTTTAGAAGCATGCCACTCGCTTTAAAATGCACCCTGCTAAGTTGTTCATCGCGATTTAAGGGGCTGGTGCCTTACTGCGACTTGCCTGACCTGTGCCAGGAGTTTTTGGTCTGTGAAGCACTACTGGTTAGCTTGTTCCCTGATGTCTCTTGGAACTCTCTTGCATCGGGAAACTGGTCATTGGCTGTCGGCTCTGTCTTGACTGGGGTGGGTGATGACATTATGACAGGGATGATGAAATTTTATGCAGGATAGCTGAGTTGCTCTGGTATTTGTTTGTTCCCCGGCTTTGCTTTCTGATCGCCTTCTGCAGGTTCTACACTCTCATGGTTTTGTCTACTGCGTTATTCGATAAACCAGCATTCAAGAATCTGATATGCAATGGCTTGGTGTTGGCAGAAGACGGCAAGAAGATGAGCAAGAGGTTAAAGAATTATCCTCCACCTACAGATGTAGTAAATGAATTTGGAGCGGTGAGTGTGTGAAAGCTTTCTGTCTTTTTGCTTTCTTTTGTTTTAGAAGCCGAATATGCCGCAGCGTGTCTACCAGTCCCGTCCTCTGCTATGTTCTTGTGTTATCACGCTTCTGGACATTGTGACCTCAACCTGTCGCATTGTTCGAGAAGAGATGCCATTGAGTTTTCTAACCGGTGAAACCACCAGTGCTACGGAGTACTCCTTTTTCCCTGCGTGTTACATGGAAGGCCGTTGTGAGGTCGATATGAAGGGGTGACATTGTTCGAGAAGAGATGCCATTGACTTTTCTAACCGGTGAAACCACCAGTGCTACGGAGTACTCCTTTTTCCCTGCGTGTTACAAGGAAGGCCGTTGTGAGGTCGATATGAAGGGGTGACAAGGATAAGGATCTGATCTGAGTCAGGAGGGGGTACAGACATCCACATGCATCCGTAGCTTTCTTTTTCAGATAGCTGGAGTTGCACCGGGACGATGGATTTCTGCATGACAATTTTTTTTGGAAGTGCGGCCCCATGCGGGGATGTTTGGAAAAAGAGGCGCTGGAGGGTATCCCAGATTCTTGGTCACAACTGGAGTTGTGCCGGGACGATGGATCTCTGCCCGAGGCAGTGAAGAGGAACAACATTGAGCAGTATTGGCTGGCAACTGGATTGTCTTTGTTTGTTTCATTTTCTGTTAGCACTTGCCATTATATTGCCTAATTCTTCATTCATTCCAGGTTTTTGTCTCGTATTTCTTTCCATATTGTCACAGAAGTGAAGATTGAATGGAGCTTTTATTGAGATGTATACATGCTTTTGCATGCCAACTCTTTGTGAAGCCTTTCTTTTTTCCTTGTCCTGTGTTGCTCATTTATGTTCATATCGTTGTTGGTTCGCAGGATGCACTGAGGTTGTACCTAACCAGCTCGCCCGTAGTTAGGGCAGAGACTCTGCGGTTCAAGAAGGATGCCAACTCTTTGTGTAGCCTTTTTTTTCCTTCTTGTCATGTATTGCTCATTTATGCTCATATTGTTGTTGGTTCGCAGGATGCACTGAGGTTGTACCTAATCAACTCGCCCGTAGTTAGGGCAGAGACTCTGCGGTTCAAGAAGGATGGTGTTTTTGCAGTGGTACGTCCTTGTTTTCTCGGGAATGTGTTTCTTTGCTCGTTTGGCAAGTTGTCGAGGTTGATTTCTCAGCGCTTCCTGACTGTTTATGATTGGCGTCTAAAATATTTCTTATGAACACATGGGGACCAGCTCTAGTTGAACAGGAAGTGCAGCAGTTGTCTTTCCAGTAAGCCTTTAATATGACCATCTGTTTGTCATGCTTGCCGTCTTATCATGTAAAATTGTTCACACGCATACTTTCACAGATGAGGGTCTACTTACGAACTTGCTTGCATTGAAGTGAAATGCCCTTGCTCACTGTCTATGATTGCCCGCTATATTGAAGCCATTAGAAAATGGTTCACGCACTTATTTTTTTGCAGATTAGGTCTAGCAACGAACTTGCTTGCATTTTAGTATGGTTTTACGATTCGAGCAAAATCCTCTTTCTTACCATCTACGGCTGCACGGTCTCTTGGAGCCACGGAATGGTCTTCTTCAGTCAGTCTTCTGCAGTTTGAAACTTTGAACCATTTCTGATAATGATTTACTGCTGTTGGCTGCATGTGTTTTTTGTCCTTGCCTGTTTACAGGTGAAAGATGTTTTTCTTCCTTGGTACAATGCCTACCGGTTTCTTGTTCAGAATGCACTGCGGCTGCAAGCTGAAGGGTCGAGCCCTTTCAAGCCGTTTGAGATGTCTGTGGTACAGACATCTGTAAATGTTCTTGACCGTTGGATCAATTCTTCAAGTCAGTCACTTGTACAGTTTGTTCGTGCGGAGATGGAGGCTTACCGGCTTTTCACCGTGAGTCCATTGCACTCGTTCTTTGGTCTGAAGGATTGGTGGATGTGACAACTTTGGCTGTGTGCCCAAAACCTTCCGGATTCATGCACTGTTTTTAAGTGTTTTAGGAATTTGGTAGACTTTCAGATACTCGCGCATGCATCGAATTGGCCTTGTAAATGATGTGGTAAACAGTAATATCTCAGTGGCTCTGGATGCACGCTACTTCTGAGTCGAGAGCTAAAAAATGTCGCCCAATTTTCTATCCCTGGGAACTGGGTGAATGAATGAAAAGTGAAAAATGGCGGTAGGCTTGATGCTTTTGTTGCGATGTCTGTCACATCCAATTCATTCTTTTTTTTTTTCTAAGAGGGCGATGGACTTGAGATGTCATCATTGAACCGACCGGCGCCACGTAATTCAGAATTATTCAATTCTGGTCAGCTGATTACATCTGGATCCTACCTCGAGTCTAGGCTCGTTGGTAGGTCCAGTCGATTCTACCACGTCTGATTTTGAAAACAGTACGCTAAATATACAGAGACTGACTTTGCGGATCGTGGTTTAATCGAGCCTGATCCCTACACTTCCTCAACCTCAGTACATCAGTAAGCTCTGGGGAAAGAGTTATGGGTTTGGGTTTCGGCTGTGTCTGAGGTGCAAGCCCAAGAATGGACCTAAGCTATATTTTCTCTCAATCTATCTAGGATGGACCTGGCTCCACTACATGTATCTCAACAGAAAGTCAGGCGAGATACTTTCGGGCTGAGGACATTGATGACCCAGCGTATGTAAAAACAAACAAACAGAAAACGCACTGCCTGCACGAGCTGAAACTTGCACCCATAACTTTTCTGCGGTCGAGCTACATTCTGGAAAAGCTATAAGTTCTGGCAAGCATCCACTCATATCATGTCTCGTTTAGCTGCAGGATTTTAATGGCTGTGATTTCAAGCTCTTGGGCCACAAAGGGGTTGGATAAGTAACCTTGCTTGCTCGACCTCTCCCCCTGCCCTGAAAGCGACACCTCCATGAATATCCCAATAATATCCCCACCGACCCCTGGGGCACCCCCGAAAAGTAATTGGGCCTTCAAAATTTTATTACGGATTTCGACAGCTCTTGAAGAGCGCAGTCAGAATTTGCCAATAAAATAAAATAAAAAATCAATGCGGGCAGGTGTCTTACTCAGTAACTCTCAGTTATATTTCCTGACATTTTCCTGATTCGTTCTGTGTAAGGAATGCTGGACCCATTTTCCAGCAGGTGATGCTCCCCACCAATAGATGGAGCCTCTCCCCGGGTGCTAGTGCTGCCTGCTTTTACCAGCAGCACTAGCACTGCCTGGGGTGTTGTAAAAAAAAAAAAAAAAAAAAAAAAAACGCGAGGAACAAGCCCTCAAGGGGCCCTATCAGACATCACATGATCTGGGCTAAGGCCCCCAGCAAGCCAAGTGCCCGTCCTAAGTGAAGGCGGGCCTGAATATTCGTCAGGGGCAAAATTCGACATTTTCCATATGTGGGTATTCAGGCTCTCGCAGCACGCCAGTTGGCTGGGTAGACGCATGAGCCTCACAAAGCTGCGTCATACAGTTGGCCCAGGCCTTGACAGTTGCGCCTGGGCACATACACACAAAGCAGGGCGAGTAGACACGGGACACTTGCGTCATACAGTTGGCCCAGGCCTTGACAGTTGCGCCTGGGCACATACACACAAAGCAGGGCCGATACATTGGGAAGCAGGCCATCGGCCTTTTTCAAAGGCAGTACCGCCGGCGCACCTGCCTGGGAGCCCTGCACAGATGCAGCAAACAGCTTAAGTCCCGAGACTCAGGCCGTGCCCAACTGAAAAGGGCCCAGTCCCTCAACTGTAGTCTCGGGCCTGGGCGCAGGGTCTGAGGCCCAACCGGAAGCTACTGGAAGCTTCCAGCCAGGCCACACGCAGCATCCAGGAGGCTGCCATTTCCACAAAAGGAAGAAACCAGTCCAGGCCAGGCATTCTGGCCAGTGCAGGCAATGCGGAATTGCTGCTGCACTATCGCTTAATGCTGCACTGCTGCCAAGGACGCTGACGGGGCGCGTAGCGGTGAAGTGGTGCGCTGCAGGGCAGCGGGGCACAAGCGGCCATAGTCGGGCTGCTGGGCCCCGGGGGGTACAGCGGGCGATGTGGTGGTCTTCAGGGAAGGAGGCGCAGTGTGGGGTAATCAAGGTCTGATTGAGGGTGACGAGATACGTACGTGGTGCATGAAGAGAGGTCAGCTATGGAGTTGACAGTCATGTACATTGGTCTTCGAGAGTCGAAGTGAGCCTGTTGCATGAACCAACTGTAGGTAGGATAGTCGGGCAGAGTAGGTTGGGCGCTGGGGGCCAGACAGAGAGGGGGGACTTTGGATACTGTGTTGGTGTGGCCTACGGGCTTGAAATTGGCTAATTACTTCATTGTATTGCTCTATATGGATGGTTTCTGTGTGCATTTTGTACTCTCTGCTTGGATACGACTACCTGGACATCTGTGTGATTTCGCAACATTGGTTTTCTGTATATCGTTCACACTCATATTCCTTGCAGAAAATTCAAATTGGGCTTTATTTTTTTTTAATTGGTTTCCCGGTTCACCCCACCGGAGCTGGTCGGGCTCTGGTTGGACCGGGCAAGCTGAACCAGCCGGTTGCCAGCCCAGCCCTGATTTGAACCCCTGACTGCATGTCAGAACTGCTTTTGCAGCAAGAAGCACATGCAATGCTCTCGTGCTTTTCCGATCTCTGTCTTTCGTTTTGTTCTCGGTCATGCCACATGCTTCGTTACTATCCGTTATTGGTTTCTTTTTACACGTCTTCTTCTGTGAGAATGCAAGCTTTGCATGCTTGTGAACCTCTTTATCCTCCCAATCCTTCTATCATAATTCCACTTGTCGCCCCCCTGGTTCCTCCAATATCCTCTTGACAGGCCTCGTACTGCTGTCCCTGTACTCTGTTGGCCTCCTTATTTAAAGTGGTTGTCTGTGTTCCTCCACACATTTCCCCCCAGGTTAGGCCGTGATCGCCTAAACATCAATCTCTTTTGCTTGAGAAACCGAAGTGAGTGCTGGTCACCGTGGGGACACAGCTTTGATCACAGAATAGCCTCCTAAAAGAGAGTAAAACTCTCTGTTTGGTTCTGATTGTTGTGTGGTTGAACAGGTTGTCCCATTCCTTCTGGACTTCATCGAGAAGCTGACAAACATCTATGTCAGACTGAACCGCAAGAGACTCAAGGGACGGACAGGCGAAGACGACTGCCGCATGGCTCTCTCAGCATTGTACCATGTAATGTGTTTTCTATAAACGGTTTCTAACGTGTCGTGTTCGTTTTTTTACCTTTTGCTGTCTATTTTTTTTTTTTGGGGGGGGGGGTGTCTGTAATGATAAGGGTTTCCTTTCCGTAATCACGGGGCTGCGACTATCGGTGATCCAGATCCTGTATTTGATGCCCAGATTGCCATGTTGAGTGTAGTCTCATCATTTGAACTTACGTTGAGGATTGGACTTGAGGTTCAGGTCACATTGTTTTACGTCTGGTGGGTGTGTGTGATGTACCTTCCTCGTGGCTGTCCTGTTGATTATCTTCCTCTTGGCTTTCCTCTCTGGCGGTGTTCGTTTGCGTTTGTACAATTCCAGTTGATGCCTCAGTGGATGGTTGGTTTGACATTTAGTCTGCAGTCCGGAGTTTCATCGCATGTATTTAAGATGCCGATGGCCAAGGCAGAGAGTGTCAGTATGGCAGCCCTTTTTCGTTGAGGTCCATCTTGTTCTCATGGATGGTGTCATCCCCTATATTATATATTATTATTATATTATTATATAGGGTACGGTGGCTACGGCCTAATCCCCCTTAGGTACGCTGAAAGTTAATGGAGTTAGCTGGGGTTGTCATGTTGGTTGTCTGTGCTTGGAAATTTGGGTGGCGGGAGCTCTTTTTCGTTGAGGTCCATTTTGTTCTCATGTTCTAATGTTGGGTGGTTTATGCAATCATTCGGAACATGTGCTATATTTACCAAGTCATCTTCGCATGCGTTTGGCTATGTCTCAACTTGGACACTCTGTATGCTGCATCATCAGTTGTACGGACTTTGAAAGTTTCAAGGAGCATCGGGCTGCATGCCAGTGCATGGGCGTAACGTTGTTTCCCTTTTGTTGTGCTCTCATGTTGCCTTTTAGGTTTTGCTAACTTTGTGCAAGACAATGGCGCCGTTCACACCATTCTTCACGGAGTGCATGTACCAGAACTTGAGCCGAGTCTTGGCCGATGGTGCAGAAGAGAGCGTGCACTACTGCTCTTTCCCAGAGCCACAGAAACCAGTAAGTTTGTCGTGTCTTTCTGAACCTGTGGCCTTGGTGATCAGTCATCATCCACTTGGCTTTCGAAGTCTGGCATATCATGAACCATGCCACCTATTGATGTTCTCTGAGAGTTCAGAAGCAATATCTCTTTCAACGAATGACTGCCAAGTGTGCATATTTCTTCCTCTGCACTTCAGCAGAGTCTCTTTTCATTTGCTTTAGGTTCCAATTGCATTGTCATGACCCCTGTTGTTCTATCTTTTTTTCTGCTCGTCTCTTTTTGCCTCTCAACCACCAGTACCTTTCATAGGCAAGGGTTTCAACGATTGGTATACCCCCGCAACTTTCGGATGAATAGGGCTACAGGGCCTCGACATCCGGCTGCACCAGGCAAAAGAAAGAACGAAAATGTGCCCATCCCGGCTGTTAGTCTTTTTGTGGCACACACTGCCCCACAGAGGAAATCCGCGTTGGGAAAAAAGAGGCTCAGAGGTACTGGTGGTTTAACTGGTCATGTCAGAAAATGAAGGGAGACATGGGGGGAAACTAAGGGACGGCCACCCTCTATAGCAGGACATGGGGGGAAACTAAGGGACGACCACCCTCTCCTCTTGTCTATTTGCCTCCCGCACTTCAGGAGGACATGGCAACAAATGCAGGGAGAACAACCCTCGGCAAAGTGTGACCACTGAAAGCTGTCAAGCATGGACATAAACACTAGTGATCGGTTCAAGTTCGTCATGGTTTTTGTCGAGACTTCCTCGCATCACAATCAGGACAATCCAAGTGCACTTGAGTCCTTTCTTCTTGCTCACCTCCTCTCGTTCTGTTTGTGTTTTGTTTCGTGAATGTTCTTTCATCTGGAATGTACTATCCGTGCTTTTATGTTTATGAAATTCATGCCCTTCCCGTGACGCACTCTGATGTGTCATGGGTACTCAAGAACGTCAAGTGAACTAGAGTGAACATCCGTTCGGCTCCAAGTCAGCTTCAATCTTATGCGGCAAGTTGAGGGAAACTTCGAGTCAACATGAAAGAAATTTGAATGAACGTGGGACTAGATCTGAATGAACTCTACACGAGCCTACATACATTTTCATATTAGGTACTCAATGTACGCAATGTTTCCATGGTGATCGAGTCGTGCGTGACCACGGCTTACCTCTGAGCATCATATCTGACCGTGACCCGCGCTTTACCAGCCGATTCTGGCGACGGCTCCATGAGGTATACGGAACTCAGCTCCGCTTCTCCTCGTCTTACCATCCTTAGACTGATGGTCAGACCGAGATCACGAACAGGACTCTCGGAGATATTCTTTGAAAGATTGTTTGTGACGACGAGCAGTGGGATCTTCATCTTGCCCACGCGGAGATAGCCTACAACCACGCCGTCCCGCCAGCCACGGGGATGTCGCCTTACTATTGCGACCTCGGC